GATTGAAATTGTTTTCCCCAAAGAAGCATTTTACAATGTTCAGCCAGACAGTAAAATGTTATAGTAGATGTAGTAATAGTTTTTACAAGACCTTCATGGCTCCCAGAAAATGATCTGAATGCGACAGATACCAGAAGTCTCGACGTTTATTTCCTTTCTGTTTCTTTAGTTGGGACCCTAATGACATTCACACTGCCCTTGGGATAAATTACAGCCTGTTATGTATTCATAAAATGTATCCATTATTGTCAGGTGAAAAAGTTAAAGTGTCCAATACCATTGTGACTAAACACTAACATTCCCCAGGAATAAAATAGCAGTAACACAGGCACCAAAGTCCAAGGAATGTCAGTTAGAGTCAGCAACTTGTAGATATGACCCTAAACCGTACCTTGAGTTTTAGTTGTCCAAATATCAGCATAAAACAGCAGCTCTCAGATTTATTTTCAAAACTGTGTTAAAAAAAATTAGCACTGCAGCTGTGCACCAGTATACTTAACTCCATGTTTATTTTGGGACTGTGGGAGGAACCCACATGGGGAGAACCTGCAAACTCTACACAAAAACAGCCCCAGACGGGATTCAAACTGAAATCCTTCTTGCCGTGAGGCAAACCATGCACTTTTGTGCCACATGTATTGCCACACTAGTGTTATCTAATGTTATATAACGAGAATAGAGCCCAACTGTTCACAAAAATATAAGTAAACATTTCAGAAATGTGGTGATTTTGGCTCAAAATTAAATGGTGAGCCTGGAATATTGCTCATCATCCTACCCATGAGTGCCATAACGCTAATGTCTGTGGTTAAGCTATAACCGCTTTGCACCTAGCCACAGAACATCATACAGACAAATTTGGCAATTTAACAGAAAACAGGCAACACAAACAGAGACAAACACATTTTGAGTTAATTGGGTCAACAGCTAATGGCAAGGCCCCTGTTATCCTTTGCTCCGACAATTCACAAGAATCACTCGTCCCATTCGACTATTCGAGAGACAGATGCCCTCTCTACTTATAAGGTTAGGCTTAAAACTTTCCTTTGTGATAAAGCTGTTTTCTTTGTATTGTGGGAGGGTCTTTACCTTACAATAAAAGGCACCTTGAGGCAACTATTGTGATTTGGCATGACATAAATAAACTGAATTGGACTATTGGTCAGATTTTAGTAAAACAGTGATCACCTGATGGTTCTTCACTGAAATTGTTCTCGTTGTCAATGTCAAGGTTACAGTTGTTGTTTCATGGACATTTTTCCATTTTCACAAGAATTACTGCTTCTCCTGGAGGTCCAGTTTTTAGTGAAATGACATTAATTTGTCCTGGATCCACATGTTTATAAGCCTGCTTGACTTCTCAGTGGATTTCAATTCTTATGAGTTTCTGCAATAAAGCCAGCCAGTGACAACAAAACTTTCTTTCTGCACCTCACACAATACAATAACCTCTGTATTATGATGGATCATGAGGTGGATGAGCTACTACATCGCTGACATTCTAGCAAAGGTGTCCGTGCCCGAGAGCCCAGTCTATATGATTAAATAGAATAGAATAGCTTTATTAACCAAATCAATGGAAAATTGTCTTTGTTTCACCAAGTCATAAATCAACCAATCAAGTTGCTTCAAATGAACCCACATTCATACATATACATATACAATACTTCAATACAACGATAAAAACACATCACAGCATCTCATTATTCAGAGTATCGATTGCTCTTGGTGCAAATCATCCCTTATATGTCGTTTTAAAAGGCATTAATTTGAAATCAGAATAGAGAGGGGGGTCACGGTCAGCAATAATAGACCGGGCTTTAAACAGACTGATGACACAGTTTATCCAGTTTAATTTGTTGTCGATCAATAATTTGTTTCTGAAAATTACTTTACACATCCAGTCATCCACACACTGGTGATGGCAAGCTACATTGTAGCCACAGCCACCCTGGGGCGCACTGACAGAGGCGAGGCTGCCGGACACTGGCGCCACCAGGCCCTCTGAACACCACCAGTAGGAAACGGGTGAAGTGTCTTGCCCAAGGACACAACGACCGAGACTGTTCAAGCTGGGGCTCGAACCGGCAACCTTCCGATTACAAGGCGAACTCCCAGCTCTTGAGCCACGATCGCCCTATTATATGACTGATTATTATTATTATTATGTAATATTAATTGTGTGTGTGCGTGCATTACATTGCAAATGTGCACATTATTTACTATTCCTACATACTAAATGTTAGGCTTAAACCTATGATAAGCAGATGTTTTCATTTGTTTGTAGCTTGCAAAACATGTGATCCTGGGCCAGTGCCCCGCTGTTTATTTTTTGTAAAATAAACATTGTCTCATATACTGTATAAAATTTCAGAAATCCCAATAGAAGCACACAGGTCACGTTTTGATGTTTTGTTTCTTTATGTAAGTATGTATGTATTTATTGTTATTCTCTGTAAATTATATAATTACCTGCGGGTTAAGAGAACAACAGTTTTTTTCTGTTAAGTGAATGGATTGCACCTATATATATATATATATATATATATATATATATATATAAAAAATTTGGTTTAAGATGGACACGAGAAACGTGTCCATCTTAAACGAGAAACGCAGAGTTTACAGTCTGTGTTCCTTTCCGGTTCATTTTACTGGGCGAACCAACCGGAAGTGATCGCTCCGTGGTGCTGTGTTGAGTTGGAGACGGTAGTGTAATTTATTTACATCTCCTACCTTCGTGTTTGAATTCCTGACATTTTATGTAAGTATCCTTTCTATTTTCAACTTAAAAAATGTCTTCCTTGTTATTATATTAACTTTAAAAGGAACATTTAGAGAGCAGTTGACAGATACGGTGAATAGGCTAACACTGGCTAATTAGCCTCACATTAGCATTAGCAGGAATTTCTCTGTTTTACATAGAAATCTTTTTACTTCAAAATTTAAATAAAGTTTGAATTGCTTCAGAGTAGTATAATCACTCATCGGGTTAACATTTGTTGTGGCATTGCTTGACTCGTAATACAAAATACAAGAAAAATATTCAGGTTACATGACTGAACTTCTCCGTCTGAACGTCTCCTTTTTAGCTGCACGTTTCTTCTGATGTCCACATGTGCTGTTGCTGTTAGATAGCGTTTCATTCATGGGTCCCTATACTTTCAAGCCCTTAAACGGGTTAAAATTGTGTTTATTTTGGCTCCGAATCAATCGGCTTTTGGTATGTGACTTTACTCAGAAGCACAACGGATGGTAAAGAAAACGAGTCTTTGTTTCTACCATGGCTGGCAATAAATATAAACATCAGGACACGACCACACTGTTACTAAAACAGAATTCACAATGACAGCAACGAGGTCGGCGACTTACGTAGTTGTGTCGTAGACGTTAAAAAGAATGCCCACAGAAGTCTAAATCCGACCTTTATCTGCACTTCATCGATGGTGACAACCTCTTCCTATTTCTTAACAACCACTGGATGAAAACCAGACCTTAGAAACTGTCTGTGTTATATTTGGAAAACCAGAGCCAGTGAAAATGTGGGACACAGTCTCAATATGTGGGATAAGGGATAAAAATACTGTAACACAATAATCATGGTTATTTTAGCTCAGTATTAAGCTTGCAATTCTTTAACTTGGTAAGACTTTTGAGCTTTTTTAAACAATGATGAAAATGTGTTGCTTGTTCTTTGTCACTTTTTAAAATCAAAGTTATTCCAAACAGCTGAATTGGTTTTCGTTTTGATGACCAAAAAGTCTCTCTTTATATCATTTTGGTTGAGCTGACCTGCCAAAACCTGAAGGGAACACTGGGTGTTTAGTGCGAGGCAAAATTGTGTCAGTGCAAAGGAAGGGATTCACTGGATTTATAGAATAGGGCAAAATATGAACCCTCACCCTTTGTTAAAAGACAAAAAGCACAGTCGCAGTCATTTCTGTTAATTTCTTTAAAAGCTATAGTTCTAATTGAATACAGACTTTGATTAATAGCCCATCTTAAAGTCTTTAGCCTGTTATCTCATTGTGTGATCCATCTTTGCATATATATTTTTTAATTTATTTATTTGTATTTATATTCTAACTTCTTTCTCATCTCTTCCCCTGTCTAGAGCCTCCAGGACTCATCTCAGCAAGAATGACAGACCGCTACAACATCCACAGTCAGCTGGAGCATCTTCAATCAAAGTATATCGGCACAGGACACGCCGACACCAGCAAGTGGGAATGGCTGGTCAATCAGCATCGTGATTCCTACTGTTCCTACATGGGACATTTTGACCTGCTGAATTACTTTGCTGTGGCTGAGAACGAGAGTAAAGCGCGTGTTCGTTTCAACCTGATGGAGAAGATGCTTCAGCCATGTGGACCACCAGCAGATAAACCTGATGATGCCTAGATCACACTGGAGTGAGCAGTGGATGCTTTTTGTTAGAAACAAAAAATATTCCAGCTAAAACTGCTACTGCATCCTTGTTTGACTCCACCATTACTGGATTCGTTGTGTACTTATAGAAGAGAAGACTTTTCTTTTTTTGGTTTTATATGGACCAGAACAAAATATTTTCTTGCCCAGCACAGTTTTCTAAACAGTTGTTTAAAGGTGAAAGTGCTTTAACAGCTGAACATGTACCAGAGGACATAATAGAAAGCAGGTATAAGGTGTAGTACTTTCATCTGCATGTGTTTGCATTAAAGGATGGAGATGTATTCTTGATTTCATTAAAATTTGTCTTTTTCTATTTTAGCACTTGTTGATTGCATTTACATGAATTTAGATTTAATGGCCAATGGTTCGGATTCATTGACCTGTTGTGATTTACAATGTAGTAATTTATACAGTAAGTTTAAAAAGAAAAATCAGGAAAAAAAGTTTGTACCCAATAAAAACTGATTTAGTATTGACAGTGTTGGGCAGCAACAAAGGGACAGCAGTTCCAATGTTTCTTGGCATGGTTACCGCTCATCCCTGTGACACAACAGGGGGAGTGAGAACAATTTGTGCAAAAAGAATATCTGCTCATCAGGTGGAAAGTGCTTTCTGTTACACTCCCACACTACCTGTAGCTGTTCTGTTGGATAGAAAGTAGTTGCTGTGAAAGCCAGCTCATGTCCAAGTCATTCAGAGTCTTGGTGGAAGGATTTATGTTTCCACTGAATCAGGTTTTTTTTTGTTTTTTGTTTTTTTTTTTTGTACTTTGGCACTCACATTAAAAAGAAAAATGTGTGCACAGGAGATATTTGACTAAACCTAGTCATGGAAAAAACTTTTAGATATGAAAAGGTAAGCCGGTTTACAAAGAGAACTAAGGGATAGAGAACAAGCTAGCAGATCTTGTGGGGGAGCATTTGCACTGTGAAGAAGGAAAAGTCAGCTTTGATTATAATGGAATAAAATTGTAAAAACAAAGTGAAGCGAAAAACAAACAGCTCATTGTGCAAAGCACCCTCCTTATCTGTAAACCGCGTTATGGGACGAGCATACATGGTTGCCAGTAGAATTGGAACAATAGTATTGTAATCACCAGGTTGAATGGAGAAGTGTACAAGAGCATTGTGTGTGCTCAGATTCAGCCAAGTTCTCCAAACATCCTTTGCTGATGTTTAATCACTCAATGTAGCTGTTTTCCAAAGTATTACACAACCAAAGCCTAATCAGAGAGCTCAAATGACTTGATTGAATATTCTTGGTGATAAATAGCTTACAAAAACAGAACTGACCAGTTTTCTAATTCGTGTTCAACGCACACACACTTGAGCCGACAAAGATCAGCTGTCCGTGACTGAGACTTGGCATGCTATATTTTTTTATATATATAAACATTTTGTCAATGAACATATGTGATATTCATAGTTAATTGAGCTTTAAAATTCTGTCTGCTACCTTTTATTTACAATTCTAAAAAGCATGTAACAGTGATCAGATTTCAAATGAACTTTTCAAGCAGGTGCAGCAAAAACCTCTGTAGCACAGCTCAACAGCGGTGGTCAGGGTAGACATTAAGAAAATTTTTTCCAGAGAATGAATTTGGATCTTTGATAAGGAGTGTGGGTTTATTATGCCACCAACCATGGGATCAGGTTTTTTATAAAACTAATTGCCTCAGGCTTGTTAAAGTCGAGTCTATGTGTGATGCTGCGGTCCATACAAGGACTTTGCTTGGGGAGCAATCAGAAAGGCACAGCAGGGGCTGAGGTTTCACTTGCTGACTTAAGGTGGTTCATGAAAGTATGCTGTCATCCAAATTTGCGCACACAGTCAGTTGGTGGGAGAGGACGCTAAACATGACTCATTGTTGGACTGTGATAGTAGTCAGGAGGTGCCAGGGAAGTTTTTGTGTCGTGTATTATGGCTGAGATTGTGTGTTGGAGGCTTTCTTGGTGGGGTAAGTCCTTGCCATCTGTCCTCACTGTCAGACTCGGGGAGACAGCGCTGCCAAGTCAGGCGAGAAAGCTGCGTGAGGTTTTGTTGGTGTGCGGTCTCGCACACACACGCATGCGAAACACATAAAATGCTTGACTATGCAAGACGTGAGCCCATAAATAATTGTCTGCTTCTCAATTTTCTGTTTAGTTGTATCATATGATTGTGTGATCTCAAGAACAGCCGATATCGAATATGTATGTGAGGCACCCTGAAAGAAGGCCCTGTTTTCAATTATAAAAATGACACATTCATTTTTTTTTTTTTTTTTTAAATCACCAGCAGCTATGAGAAATTATCAGAGCATCTTCTAAAGCACTGAGCACCATCACAAGGTTTTTTGTCAGTGCTGAGAAAAACATGTTATTTAACAGAAAGCCTTTCTTGTACCATTACGTCACTACAGTTTTGTGTAAGAAATTGCTTTGAAGCACAGATGAAAACTGTTCACACAGTAAGAAAATGTGAAAGCAGCATACAGCTGTTGTGTACTGTTTTTCTTTTCCAAGTCTGTCACAGTGACCATAAATACTCAAGCCTGCCTGCCAACAGTCTTAAATCCTCACCATGACAGCTACAAGGTCATAATGAACACTCATCTTCTACTCATTATGAACAAGGAGCAAAAACGGTCTCTCATGATCTCATATAAATCCTCTAGTTAATGAATGGAGCATAATATTAAAAAATAAAATACTTGGATGATTTATTGGACAAATAAAATATTCAGACTTCCATCCAGCACTTCTTAGCCAACTAGCGTCACAGGGAGTGAGAGAGGCAGGGTACATCCTAGACACTGAGCCCATCACAGAGCTAAAGCATAGAGACAGATGAACATTTATTCTCAAATTCAGACCTATGGCCAATTTGGAATCACCAGTTAAGCTAACATGCTTGTTTTTGGACTTTGTGAGGAAGCTGGAGTGCCCAGACACCATGGCCACAGGCACAGACAGGACATGCAGACGCCACACAAAAATGCCCCAGCTGACCTAAATCAGAAATATTTCATATACTGCTCGAAAAAAAATAAAAGGAACACTTTTTAATCAGAGTGTAGCATCAATTCAATCAAACCTCTCGCATATTGATCTGGTCAGTTGAGTAGCAGAGAGTGTTGTTAATCAGTTTCAGCTGCCTTTGTGTTCATTAAATTAACAACAGGTGCACTAGGGCTAGTGTCTCTACTGGTAGTCCAACTCCTCCAGCATCCAACACGTCAATATGTGCAATTTCCAGAAGGTTTGCTGTGTCCCTGAGCACAATCTCAAAAGCACATGGGAGATTCCAGGAGATGGGTAGTTACTTTGGGAGAGCTGAAAAGAGTGGTAGAAAGTTCTTTCAGAATGATTAAAGAAGAGGATGGCCGATTTGGATTCATTAATTTGTTGTCTTTAAAACCATTCAGCATGATTGTTTGGTGGTGTGTCAGTAATGGTCTGTGGAGGAATATCTATGGAAGGTTGCACTAACCTTAGTCTAGGTAACAGCACTATGACTTTGGTTAGGTATTCTTGAAATCCTTGGACCCATCGTCAGACCACGTGCTAGTGCAGTGGGTTGTGGGTTCCTCCTGGTGCATGACAACAGTCTGCCTCATGCCGCGAGAGTAGGCGGTTCCTGGAGCATGAAAAAATTGATACCATTGACTGGCCCCCTTCCTCGTCTGACCTGCATCCAATAATACATTTTGTTTCAGTCCATCCGACGCCACCAGGTTGCACCCACAGAAGATCAGCCATGCCCTGGTCCACAACTCGGAAGAGATCCCCCAGGATGCCGTCTGTTGTCTCATTAGGAGTATGACCTGACATTGTCAACCCTTTGTAGGCTGACAATTTTCATTTCCAACAAAGAAAGTGGCATCCCTTTTATTCCTAACACATTATCCAGTCCAGATATTTTTTTAATTTATTTATTTTTAGCAGTATATTTTACACCTGTCAGAAAATTACTCTGTTGATCCCAAAAGTCCATATGTGAAAGAGAAAAAGAAACTGGCAGAACACACCATAAACTGAGACGCTAATGCTTTTAGTGTAATCACCCAAACACATAACTGGGTGTGATAGCTAAACCCATTCTGCCTAAATAGTTAAGGGTTCTTTTATTTCATGCTATTATACTGTATGTCTTACCAGACTAGAAGCACTGATTTTTCTCCAGACTAATCTGCATGTATATTGGGCAGATGGGGCAGTCATACTGTTGGAAACAGTTCTTAAGGAAGAACCAGAACCCCTGTGTTGCTTTATATTCACTTTATTCAAGCTTCAGTTAAAAGATTCAAATCCTTTGAAAGTATTTCTCAAATAATATTTCAACTGGACTGATTTATTTTATTTAAGCTCATCATGCTGGAAATGCAAAACTATTTCTGTTTATCAAGTAACTGGTGAAAATACACAAAGAAAGCTATTTTTTGTCCTTTTCTCTCTTCCCACATCTAACTCGTCACATTCGATTTTGTCAACGAGCAAGTCACTGCACTGCTGTCAAATCTTAAAACGGCTTCTTTCTGTCGAGCTGTCAGCTGTCACTTCAGTGTCAATGGATGCAGTCCTCCTCCACCTCATTCACCCCCAGTTTTCCTCAGAGCCAGCTCATCAGAAGTCCTGTTCCACATCATATGCATGCAGACTTCCATCATACAGCGTCACCACCACCGGTGTCTAAACCCATTGTTATGTTGATTTACTACAATGGGCTACTGATTGGTGTAGATTATCAAATAATTGCTTCATTTAATGCAGTTGCACTGCAATAACTCTCTTCTTTATGGTGAGCTTCCATGCCACTGATCAATAAATGCAGGCCCACTTGAACATTTCACAGCTAAACAGCTAATCAATTGATCGAATCTCGTGCGGCCGCTCGTTTTCGCCTCAGCTAGGTAACCTTCAAGATCCTGCAGGGTCTAGTTGAGGCAATTAATTCTACTCCCTATGACTCTTTGCAAATCACAGTCAGAGTGGAAACTGGAAACTGGCAGCACCGTGTGTTTGCATTTACAAATGGAGCTTGACACATTGAATAGCATTTGTTAATAAACCACTTGGCCTTTCTGTGTTCATGCTGATGCGAGCTCTTCGTTTGGCCACTCGTCCATATCTGCTCTCTCCTCTGATTACACACTGGTGCAAAGGTTCAGGAAGCACAATTACCCTCGTCAAATATAAATTCTCCACAAATTCAATTATCTTTGTCCACATGGCCACCCACCACCTAACCCTTGTGCTATCCTGTTCTCCTTCACTAAACTCTTCACCGATTCTTCTTTACTGCTCGAACCACTTCCTGCAAACTACATTGCATCCTCCCCTTCTCCTCTACTACACTCCATTTTTTTCTTTCTTCATCTTTGCCCTCTCAGATAGGCTTACCAGTGGAGTGGAAACACAGCAACTAATGACTCTCCAGCAGTGGAAAAACACATGAATATTTTGTGTGAAGAAGGCACAAATGTGGTGCAAAATCATATTCAAAAAATAAATGCAGAACAGAATTCACCCAGAAAAATGGCACTACTA